ATGTGGGCATTGTAGAAACCTAGGACACACGAGAAAAATATGTCCACTTCTGTTGTCATCAAGTAACAATTGATGAGGAAATGATGTATTTGTTTATCAAATAATAATTCTTGTACTTTAATTTGCATTTACTTCAAGTTAATGATAACCAAATTGGTATTTGAATATACTTTTAAATACAACAAACTTACAATAAGTATTAAATGATAACCAAATTAGAATAACTGATATTAAATGGTAATAAACAAAATTAACTGAAATACATTAAAAAAGTCCAACAAATTTAACAAAATAAAGTAAGTATTAAATGAGAAATAATAAAAAATTACAATTTTAAAAAATAAAGTAAATACAAATATAATAAAAAAAATCTATCGATGCCTACGACGCGAATGTGTTCCGCAGGGCGGTGGCTGTCGGTCTCGAGGAGGATTTCTTCGTATCACTGGTTCTGACTCCTCACTGTCATCATCATCACCGTCGTCGTCGTCGTCCTGAGCAGATACATTAGGTTGATGAGGAGTTGATGACGATGAAGCACCTCCATAGAATAAGGACCCTGGAGGTATATGACTGACTATCCCACCGGCCTGCGAAAACTGGGAAACTCCAGACATCGCTGAGTGTGAAAACTGTACAGAAGGTGTCTGTACTGCGGCCATAGGTGATGAGGTTGAACCCATCAAATATCCAGCATATGAACCCTAAGTCGAATCTGTAAACATAGACCTATAATAGCCTCCAGGAGGGGTCATCTATGACGGTGACGGCGGCGGGGTCATAAAACCATGTGAAGGCGGCGACAGTGGCATCTGGTAATGGAAAGACGATGACGGCATCATATATGGCTGCTGTGAAGGTCATGCTGGTACAACTAAGGATGAACCGGAAGCACCTGCTCTCTGTCAACGAGTCGGGGGACGATGGTGCTGTGGCGGATCACGTCTCTATTGACGTCGCGGAAAGGTATGCCCTCTTGCATCCTCGGGAAGCAAAAACGGTTTCCCGTTACTGTTGAACCACTCATAATAACCGTCAGCATACATCAAGAGGTCATCAAAAATAGGCTCTCTACGGGGAAGGCGCCGATGTCGATCCTCCCACAACACGACCCACTCATGATGCCTCACCAGCCAATCTGTATCTGTCTTGCCGCGTCTATCTAAGCTATGCAACTCGTCCATATTGCGAGGTGCTTCCAGAATTGGTTGAAAACAACCAAACTTCCGGAGCACGCGATCAGTAGAGTGTCACTCGACGGTCGCATAACAAATCAGAGGACCATCTCTATCCAAACATCTGATGGACCCCTCAACTCAGGTGGGATCACCGCCCTCACATCATCAGTACAATATGGCACCTATTCAAACTAAAACAAATATTATATAATTTTTTATCAAAATAATAATCTATTTATATAACTATAATCTAAAATCAATTTTTAAACATTAAAATTCATACTTGTGTGCCAGCATGCTGATCGATGAGCACCCTAATTTTTTCTAAATCATCAGGTAGCTCCTGATGATTTTTCCTATCAATAGACCACCTATTCAATGAAAAAAATTTATACGCTGTATAAAATTATTAATATACAAAATCAGTTTTATAATTACCTCAGAAGTAGTGGAAATACGAATGAGTTCTTCACAACGGGACATAAAAAGGGCAATCGATACCATGCCCAAGACTACAGTAGCAGGAGACATCCGTCAATAGCATTACGCCTGTAGTCAGTGGCTCCACACATCTCCCTGTACAGTAAAGCCAAAACTATCGAGCCCCAACTGAATAATCTGGCGAGACGAAAGTCGCTAAGATGTTGCAACCACATGCTGTGAACTAGGTTGCGCGATTTGTCCGGCATCAACAACCCTCCTATCAAATGCAATATACATGCTCGTGCATACATCTTAACCTCATCCTTAGAGGCGTCTGCGCTCAACTCCCAAAAATTGGCATCTAACCAATTTAACGGTATCCTACCTCCGATAAAACTTTCCGGGACACGTCCTAGATTTTCCCGGCACAAAGTAGTCCAAGAACCGGAAGCTATCCTTGATATCACATCTCCATCCACCGGAAGCCCCAGGTGCATAGAAACATCCTCAAGCGTGATCGTGCACTCTCCGCACGGAAGATGGAATGTGTGGGTCTCCGGCCTCCACCGCTTTACTAAGGCAGAAATAAGGTCTGGTTCTATTTTACAATGACCTTGATATCTACCTATGTAACCAAATCCAGCCTCTACTAAATACGTCAAGACACAACTAGGTATCACTAACTTAAGATTCCTAATAAAAGGATCTAATACATGGTTCTTCTCCTAAAAATTAATTCTTAATCTAATAATCATGCATTAAATAAATCAACTAATTATTACTAATAATTTAAATTAAATTAAAACGTTAAAATGTTATCGTATCAGTAAAGTGTCGAGATATATGATTTCATCCAAGCGAAGTAGACTGTCTTCCATTATATATCTACAAAAAAATTATATTAGTAAAATATTAAATAAAGTAAAATACTTAAATAAATTAAATACATAATATTAAAAATATTATAAAATATACCTTAAAAAAGAGAGTATTTAAGAGAAATTGAGAAAATTTGAGAGAATTTGGTGTGATGAAAGTGATTGAGGATGGAGGTATTTATAGGGAGGATTGGGGTGTGAACGAGTAGGTAATTAAAGGTATAGCGCGCCCTCTATACCGCACTATACCCCACATGTTGCCAAATCTGCATATAGCGCAGGACAGGGGGCGCGCTTTATTGGTACGGATGTTAGATCAGGAAATATAATATGATCGGTATTATATCGATAAATATACCAATCACCAGTGATTTTTCAAAAAAAACATATTTTTTTATGTGTCATTTTAATATCGTCATTAAAAGTTTAAAAAAAATCTGTTGACATAGTATTTTTTTATTTTCAGTGTAAATGAGGAGAGTGGATGTGACTAACGTGCTGGATGGAAGGAGAAAGGAGGTGTGTAAGGCGCGCACGAGAGTAGCATAGAGAGATGGATGAGGTGGCAAAAAAGGAAGGTACAAGTGGAGGAGAAAACAAAAAAGCGAAGTGTTTTGGATAGTTTGGTAGAGAGAGAGAAACAACCCCACGTCTCCCTTTCATATCTTTACTAATTTAATCATTTAATAATAATAATAAGGGTAAATTACATGTTTAGTAATTAAATTATTATTTTAATTATATTTTAATACTTAAACTTTATTTTTTAAAAATTATACTTAACATTTAGTTAAATTTTATTTTGGTACCCATCGTTCAAAACATAATGGTGATATTGATATTGAAGTGTCACCATAAGATAATATCATGTCATCATTGAAAAAAATAAAATTAAATGACATTTTAACAGTAGAGTCATCTTAGACATTTTCGGGGCTTTGAGCAAAACTAAAAAATCGGTTCTTATAGAACAAAAGTATATTCTATTATTTTGAATAATTAATTTAATATTACATTAATAAATTTTAGAAAAATGATTAAGTTAGGGGCCTAAATTATAAAAGTAAAAAAGTTGGATTATAAAAATTGGGAGCTTCAATTATAAAGCTAAAAAGTGAGATTAAAAATTAGGGGCTTGAATTATAAAGGTAGAAAATGAGATTGAAAAAATTAGGGACCTTACTTATAAAGGTAAAAAGTGAGATTAAAAAAATTTAAGGGGCCCAATTATAAATATAAAAGATGAGATTAAAAAAATTAGGGACTTCAATTATAAAGATAAAAGGTGGAATTGTAAAAAATTAAGACATCAATTATAAAAGTAAAAAGTGAGATTAAAAAAATTAGGGACTTCAATTATAAAGATAGAAAGTGAGATTGAAAAAATTATGAACCTTAATTATAAAGGTAAAAAATAAGATTAAAAAAATTAAAGGCTTCAATTATAAAGTTAGAAAGTGAGATTGAAAAAAATTAGGGGCCTCAATTATAAAAGTAAACAGTTGGATTAGAAAAACTAGTGATCTCAATTATAAAGTTAAAAAGTGAGAATAAAAAAAATTAGGGGCTTCGATTATAAAGGTAAAAACTTAGATTGAAAAAATTAAGGGTCTCAATTGTAAAGGTAAATAGTGAGATTATAAAAATTAAGGGCCTTAATTATGAAAAGAAAAATTAAAATTAAAAAATTAAAAATCTTAATTATAAAAATAAAAAGCATTGTTGAAAAAATAGGGATCTTATAAAAATATGGGGCCTAAGTAATCGCTCACCCTGTACCCCTTAATAACTAATTCTGGTCAACAGTTCTGTTAAATTTTTAATAACGGGTATCAAACAGAAATCTATTTGATAAAAATAAAATTTGAATATTAAAATAAAACAAAAATAATAATTTAAATACTTTTCGATATATTATAATATGAGTGAATCACTCTATCATTCTTAAATTTATTTTTGTCCCTTAATTATGATGTTTTTAAAATTTTCACTAATATTTTAAATTTTTCTATTTTACTCCCAATCTTTAAATTCATTGATTTGTAATTTTCAGATAAATAATTTTGTTTTTTTTAGTTTGCGAAATTTAATATAAATAAAATTAATAAACTGATAAATAACAGTGAAAGTTTAAAAAATAACCTAATTTAAAATTAAAAATGACGGAAATTTACGTGATAAAAAAGTGATTAAAAACATAACACTTTAAATTAGACGTAATCTAAAATATTAATTTTATATAATATTTTTGTTATAATCTAAAATATTACAAAAAAATAACATTTTCAATTGTTAAACAAAAAATACTATAAAAATTAACATTTTATATTCGACAAAAAATATAATATTTTAAATTACATTCAATTTAAAATATTATAATTTTTTTAATATTCTCAATAGTTCATTTCCACCGTAGATATCATTTTAAGATTTCTAATGTCGGTTCTTCTCTTTTTTCCTACCACAGTTTAAGAATTTAAACGAAAATTCACCGAAAATCTATTGCAGAAAATATCTTTCATTTATCTAATTATCTGAGACGGATTTGATGTGATAACTCTTTTTATCTGCCCTGAATTGCGATATCAGATCCACACCTTTTTGTTGGTCCCTCCAGGCGGAACATACCCGGTCATGGATGTTGTTGACACCGTTCCTCGCTTCATTGCAGGAGCCATTTCTGGAGCTCTCACAGGGTTTTTGCTTTTGGTGATGACAGCCCATTTCATTTCATTTTCTTTTCTTTTTTTTCTTTTTATTATATTTATTTTTTTAATTCAATGATTTTTGTTATATTTTTCTGGAAGTTTTGACAGTTGAATCGTTATTTTACGTCCGAAAAGAGAATATACATGTGTGTGTGTTTGTATGCGTGTATAATTCATATGGGTTTAATTCACTGTTCTTTCTTTTGAAAATGAAAACAAGATAGTAATACTAATACATCAAGCATGAGTTTTTGATGCATGTGAAACACCCGTACTAGATGTTTTATACCAATATTTGCTCAATCGAAATTAGCTTTATGTTTTGGCAAATGATTGTCGATTTCAAACTTGACGATGTAATGAGGTTTGAATATTTGCAGCTGGAGCTTTTACCGGAGCTGCTATCGGTGCTTTGGCCGGTAGGGCTTCGGATAGCGGCCTCCTTCGCGGGGCTGGATTAGGTGCTATAGCAGGGGCTGTAATGTCTATTGAGGTTTTGGAGGCTTCTCGTGCTTACTGGTGCTTGGAACAAACTGGTTCAAGGGGTTCATCATCTATGGTTAGCAGCAACTAAGCTTGATTCTTATGCTCTATGTTGCTTGGATTTGGTTTTTTTGGGTGGGTTGGGGGGGGGGAGCGTTTGATATGGATATATAAGGGTATATCTCTGACACGGATATGCTCCACTTTTTATAAGTCCGAATGTGTTATATACGGGAAAAATAAAGAGTCGGAGCAACATAGCATATGCATACTACACAATTCTTCTTGAAGTTTTGTGCTAACCATAAGAGCTATTTTTTTCTACCTTTGGCTATAGACTAATTATATATGTTTTGGGTCCAGGCAGATTTCATAGAGGAGCTTCTCCGGGAAAGATTGGTCGACGAGTTAACCCCAGCTATGTTAACTACCTACCATTGGCAGGTCTTGTATTCATTCTTTTTGTATTTTGTTTGAGAACACTGGATTGGTTGTATTATGTTGGAAATTTAGCATATATCTACATGATTGATCTCTAATAAAGAAAAGCGTCATTTCCTTTGTGAGGAATCATGGATGAGATTGGTGAAGAACATTAGTTTTCCAGTGATCCTTTAAAAGGATCCAAAAGAAGCTGCATGGTATTTTGTGCATGGTTTTTCCTGACGGTTAGGTCCAGTACTTGCTCATAAAGGTGTCGATCACCGTGATGTATTTTGTTCAGTCTTCCTTGTTTCGCACGTAACTCACAGAAAGAAGTAACCTTTTATCTCTCAAATCTCTCTCTTTGCTTTAAGTAGTGTAGATGAGGTGCAAAGAATCTGAAAGAGAATGGAAAATATTAGCACCGTCTTATTTTACCTAATCTTCCTCGCTCTTCTAGTTATTTCTTTTATTTGATTTTGCTTCATAGATCGGTTTTGTTACTTAAAACTTCTGTGTGCTTGCTTTTCGAACTTTGTTTCTCGAATGAAGTTTATAGATACTCAAGATATCTGTTTCTGCAAAATGTACACTTGTTTACTATACTGCTTGTACAAGTTAATGTAAGTGAGTAGAATATGTTGCTGTTATAGTTTATTTCAACAAGCAGCATGCATATAGTTATTATCTCCTTCAACTTAGAATTACCGGGTCAGGATCGTCTTGAAGTTTTTATTCATAACATATAGATTCAGTACTTGTTCATAAAGGCGTCGATCACAAGATGTATTTTGTTCATATCTTCCTTGTTTTGCATGTAACTCGCAGAAAGAAGTAACTTTTTATCTCGCAAACCTCCCTCTCTCTCGTGTATGGTGCAGGTAAGCCTTGCTAATATAAACTATGATGAGATCCATGGTATCTATGACAAAGTTGTATCGAGGGGATTGTCGGGAGATTCACTGCTTAGACTACCATGTCATGTTATGCTAAACGAAACCAAGGCACCTCAAAGCATTGTAAATTGCACGATATGTTTGCAGTTACTACTTTGCAACCACATTCATTTCTTTTACCCCTGTGATCGTATCAATAACAATCTCAATCCCAGTTTGCTAATAATAAGTTAATAACCATAACAAATACAATGCTATTAACAGTAATAATAACAATAGATATTGTCATTGGCAGGATATTAAACTAGGGGAAATGGCGAGGAGTTTGCCCGAATGCCAGCATTCGTTTCACCTGGTATGTGTAGATAAGTGGCTTATACGGCAGGGTTCATGCCCTGTATGTAGACGGTGTCTGTGAATGTATTAGAATCAAGTTATAGTGTACATTATGAGACCCAAACCTATACGAGTGAAAAATCAAAATAACCGAGTCGAATTGATTTGGTTTTTAATTTAAAAAATCTGATCGATGCTTGTCTCCGAAATGAATGTAAACCAAACCTTATGACTGAATCAAGATATGGAAACTGAAATGAATTGAAACTTGCATGATACAAAGTGCTCGACATAAACACGAGTCGTCTAATCCAAAAAAGCACATCTTATTTACCTCACTCTCCGTATCCCTTATGTGTCAATCATTTGAAATCCGACAAGGTAGCAATATTGTGCTTCTGGTGGTAGCGATATTTTGCTTCTTAAACGATCATATAGTGCATATTATCTGCAAAAAGAGGAAGACGTTCATACTAAATTATACAACAAAACTCATAAAAACTTGTTGCAGTGTATGATCAATCACTATGAAGTTTTAGGGTACCCTAAATGGAAATGGAGATAGATACAGATCATTAGTCACACGACTGCTCCCGGCCTTTTGCTGGTTTTGATTCCTCTAATGGCTGTTAAATTGTTCAAGCCACAAAAATTCATTAAAATCCTTTCCATTAAATACATGGAAAATATTAAATGGTTCCTCCCATCCATACCTTGGGCGTAATCTTTGGCTCCAAACACAGCTGAACCAGCAACTAAAGCGTTCGCTCCAGCCTCAATAACCTGTCAGCAATGGATGCCATTTCAATTTATATTCCATAACTTAAACAAAATCTTCGAAGCTCGCATCAGAAACAAAAGTCTGGCACACGCTAACCCTTTCCCACTATAAAGAACCTTTTGCCGTCAAGATCTGCACCTCCAACAAGTATAAAAATGATTGATCACTGCGAAAACTTGATTCGGACACCACTTGCTGTGGAATCATCAATGGTAAAGCAACCATAGGCCTATCTCTCGACAAATGATAACTCATACAAACTACATTTGGTGTGACTCTTCATTCTTCTTAAACATACCTTGCTGGACATATCGTTTCCAATGCTCACATTCAAGTTCGAGTAACATAGGAAAACCACATGATTCTAATGTGGTACCTTGTATGCATTTTGAGGACCAACTCCGCCATCCACTTCAATCCATGGTTTACTCCCTGCACCGGAAAAATATAAGATAAATTGTCACCATATTTTAAAGCATAAAAAAGGTTAGATGACACCTACAGAGATGGCACCTGTGTATATCTTCTCTGCACACATTCTTCTCAAGTCCGAGATTCTCTTCACTCGACTCTCGATAAAGCTCTGCCCACCAAACCCAGGGTTGACCGACATGATCACGACAAGATTAACCACTGTCCGAATGCAAATGAGAGATTATCATGTCAATTTCCTTCAATTTAGTCCAACGAACTCGTAAAATCTTTAGGTGATGAGTTACAAAAATGCAGTGAGGGATCCACATAGTAGATTAAACTTGGATATTCTTGGAATATTGTTTTAACCATATTTCAGGCTATGTTCCGACTCTTCGTTTTGTGAAGGCATCTATGTCTGATGTATATCCAGATATGTAGCGATATTCTAAAATAAATTCCGATTACAAAATCCACATGAAACTGTGCATAAGAAAACAATGCATACTGCTATAGTCTATACGACCTTATTGTTATGAATGCAATCGAGTTTGGGCTTTACTTGATTTGAGGCGACCCCTCATTTTTATCATGGAATGTACGGAAAGGCTCAGAGAAAGAAAAATCTCACTTGATTAACTATACGATGCAAATGGATGGTTGAAGATTGTTGCAATGAAAACTGACGATGGTTGCTCCAGCCTTGATAAAATCTGGAACTCGTTGCTCAGGTTCCACAATCATCTGCAGTGCATCTATAAGGGATTAGAAAATGTTTAATATTGGCTGATTAATTATAAGGTATGCAAAAAGAGAAGCATACCAAAAACCAAATACTGGTCGTAAAGCATCAACTACGAGAGGTCCAATTGTAATGTTAGGAACAAATCGGCCATCCATTACATCATGGATCCAATCACAGCCTGCCACTTCTACTGCTTTCACCTAGAAAATTCTGGACAACCTTCAGAAGCAAGCTCCAAACCGAGTTAAAAATATCATGGAGGTAAAACAAGCGAAGAGCCGCTAACATGTTTGCTATTGACATTGGCATAAATTAAAATACCAAACAGTAATGCAGATTATAGTCCAATTTTCTGTGTTCCGGAAACATGTTGCATATCTGAAAGTTATAATTTACAAGAACATTCATGGTAAAAGATTAACAATAACGAAACTGCTCCCCCAACTTCGCGAAATTAGCAGAGAGAATAGATGGAAAAACAATGATATCGCTTTTCGAGAATTTATCGACTCGAGCCGTTGCCTTCACTACTGTAGAAATTCTCCTCCTAACATTTTCAGAGGAAAATATAATAAAAGCATACTAAAACATTGTAAGAGACCTGGAAAGAGAAAAAATCAAATCTGTACGAAGACAAACAATCATGTTCGAAAAATGTGCTAAAACTTTCGATGTAATTTGTGAATGCAATGTCATAATGCATAACTTGTGCTGAAGATCACAGTCGAAACCAAACCCCTAGCTTCAACTTAACATCAACATGCAAGAAGAAAGCGAAAACTTGAATATAAATACACAATTCTGCTCCTAAGTAAACACCAGCCATCCAAATTGCATATTCAGATTTCTTATATCAAATATTACGAAATTAAAAATGTAATTGTAAATTAATTCAATGAACTTCAGCTACCTTATATTCTTGATTTATGTTTTTAACGGAAAACAATCCTTCACTTTCAATAGAAACCGCCTTATTTTGTGTCTAAAACATTACAAAAGAATGAAACTTCCGGTTATAGGGGGAAAATTATCAAATTTGAAACAAGTTTACAAGAACATTTCAACATTTCTGAACTGGGTTTCAACGCCAACACCCATAAAGTTGCTTCTTTTGCCATGAAAAAGAAAAATCTAGAAAAAAACAACGAAGAATAAAACCTTGTGAAAGTAAGTGTGTTGGGTTGAGAGACATGAGTTCTTAGAACCCCAAGTCCTCCTCCGAAGCCATTAATCTGAGTTGAAGAACACAATGAGGAAGCTGTCAACATCTGTTGCTTGTCTTCTTTTTTTTATTATATCTTGTGTGTTGTAATCGAGAAAGGAGGTGGGTTTTTTTTGGGAGGTTGCCGGTTAAATACGATTAAAATATGTGATTGGTTAAATAAGTGACTAATTAAAATTATTACCGAAATTATGATATGTTTTTATTTATGTTATTTGTGTTGATAATAATAATAATTGTAATAATTAAAAATTTTATCGTGGTCTGTAAAATGGGTCAAAAAATTATTTACTTTAATAATTTAGGTTAATTACTGAAAATAATATTAACTGTAATTACATAATAAGTTGCATTTAAAATATTATAAACGGTAAAAAAATAAGTTAATTATTTATTTTGTTATTAATATTATTAATATATTAGGTAATTCTTAAAATATTATTAAAATTTAAGTTGATGCAAATTTAAAAAACTCACGACAACAAAATAAGTTAATTACTTATTTTTTTATAAATATTATTAACATATTAAGTTACGCCTAAAATGTTAATGAAAGTTTAAATTGAAGGGACCTTTTAAATCCCACTTATAAATACTTGTTTTGTTATAAATAAATATTAACATGTTAGGTTGCGTCCCATAATATTATTGAGAATAAAGAAGTAGGTTGTGATATGAAATGTTAAAATTGTGTTTAATGAAATTTGTAGCGATTTAATATGTAATTGTATATTTGGATAAAAATTATTTTAAAATAAATATCGATACTACTATGATATGATGATCGATACTTTAACAAATATCGATAATGTTTCTATGATGTTCGATATTTTAGCATTTTAGAAACTTGTTAATTTGAAGAAAAAAATTGAAATGTTAAAATCGAAAGTTACTTATTTAAAATTTTTCATTAAAATATCTTTGTAAAAATATCGATACTTACAGAAAATATCAATATTTTAGTTTCTTCTACTTTCTTATAAGTAACCGTTATTGTTTTAACTAAGGTAACTAATAAAAAAAAGACAAAATTGGATTAAAAGTATCAAAACTCTTATACTTAATATCGATACTTAGTGTAGATGTATGGAAATTATTAATACCGATACTTGGTGTATATGTATCAATATGTATTCAGAAAAATTATTAATACCCGATATCAATACTTTAGAGTTTTAGATTTTTGAGACTTTAACATTTGAAAAAAATTATGAATGTTAAAATATCGATAATTGATATTTGTTGTATCGAGATTTTTGAAAAAATTGATGAACTCCCCTCATCAACCTACAAGTATCGATACTTTCGAATTTAAAAAAATATTTCAAATTATTAAGTTGTAAATATTTTACCGTTTACATTATTATTATACCTTCAAACTAACCGGTAGCTAGTTTAACGTAATATGTTGCGTTTATTTTATTTTCCTGGTTAAGTGGTAAATATTTTACCATTTAAATTATTATTATACCTTTAAACAAACCATTAGCTAATTTAATGTTATAGATTGCGTCTATTTTATTTTAACCAGTTAAGTTGTAAATATTTTGTCGTTTATATTATTATTATACCTTTAAACAAACCGGTAGTTAATTTAACGTAATAAATTGCACACATTTTATTTTATCGTTTACATTATTATTATATATTTAAACAAACCAGTGGCTAGTTTAACGTAATAAGTTGCGTTTATTTTATTTTAATAGGGTAAGTTGTAATTAGTTTATTGTTTACATTATTATTATATATTTAAACAAATCGGTAATAGGTTGCACATATTTTATTTTAACCATTTAAGTTGTAATTATTATTACACTATCAATATTTTTACAACGATGTTTTAATGAAAATTTTCAAATAAGTAACTTTCGATCTTAACTTGAACATTTTTTTTCAAATTAACAAGTATCAATATTTTAATTTCCATCAACTTTATCAAATGTTTAAGTATCGAACATAATAAAAAAAGTATTGATATTTTACCATACATTAAATGTTAAAATATTAACCATCAGATCATAGTATTGATATTTATTTAAAATCAAGTTTGCAGCATTCTCATTTTCTATATATATTTTTTATTCAAAAGTATTGATATTTGTGAAAAAATATTAAAATTTTGTAGCCTTCTCATTTTTCATGTTTCTTTAAAATTTGAAAGCAACGATATTTATAAAAATGTATTGATACTTTGCATCATTCTTATTTTTTATTTTTTTAATTCGATAATATCTATACTTTTGAAAAAAATATTAATACTTACTGATGAGATAAATTTGTCGGTTACGTCATTATAATTAATATTAGGTATAAGTCAACATTTTTAGTCGGGTTAAACTAATTTTGTTAATGTTTTTTTTTAATTTTCGATTGCATTATTTTTTAATCTTATATTAATCCATCTTTCCGTTTTTTATTGTTTGGCAGTGAGAGCTTTTATTTGTTTGTTAAAATCTCACCACCAACACCAGCATGGCAGCAGCAAAGACTTGGAGCCCGCACAAAGACAGATGATGGAAAAAAAATTAGGAACGAGTTCATGTAAGGTTGATTGGTGGGTTAAAATTTTAATTCTTGATTGATTTAATTTGATTCAACAACAACAATTACTCAAGTTAGCCATAAAGAACCCTTCCTCTTTGGGATTTTTTTTCTTTAGGTTCTCTAGATTTTCGAACTAATGCGAATTAATTTATGTTGCATATTTAGTTCTGATAGATAAGTTTTTCAGTAAGAATTTTATGCATACATAATATTCTGAATTTAATAATTACTTAAATAATATCATGTTGTTTACCACTTAAATTAACCCATTAGTTTAGGATAACAAATATGCATTATTTGTTGATTCTAACTCTTGAAGGTCTAATCCACCTTCTGGCTTAGAATAGCATATGATTTTCAGTTAACATGTGCTCCTTTAACTGTTGCATCACTATTTCCAAAAATGTAGTGGAGGATCCATAGAAGGCTAAGGATAAGTATGTGTTATCTATTTTACCGTTAGTGTCTAGTTTAAAATTTTATCTGTGTTAATTTTATTTAAAATTTTTGTGTTGTTAACGTATATGTGTCTATCTTAAAAAATATTTATGGATCTAACACTCCATAGTTGATTCATCGGTTGCAGAATAATTTTGAGTAAAGTATATAAATGATCCTCCGACTATAGGTTATTATTTTATTGAACTTCTCAACTATTTAAAGTTATAAAATAATCTCTGATTATAAGGCATTATTTTATTGAATCTTTCAACTATTAAAAGTTATAAAATAGTCATATTATTATTCATATGTTTTAAACTCGTCTTTCTTCGTTAAAAAATTAATGAAAGTCTGAGCTGGACGTTAACCTGCTCAATATGATATGATAAAAATATGATTTCAGAACTGTTTGAGATGTATTTCGTGGATTGAGTCTTTATATATATTATATCATTGAGCCAGTGCATTAAACATTTTATCATCGAGCCAATACTTAAAAGCAACGACAATACTGATAGACATCATTAAAATATAATTTTATCATATCCGAATCAACATGTTAACGTCCAGCTCTGACGATCGTCAATTTTTAATAGAAAAAGACGAGATTGAAATATATAAATAGTCGAGTGACAATTTTATAACTTTTAATAGTCGGAAACTCAACAAAATATTGCCATATAGTTGACCCAATAGTTGAGTGATGATTTTATAACTTTTAATAGTCGGAAGATTCAATAAAATAATACCCTATAACTGAGACACTACTTTATCTAAATAAATTTTTAAAGAAGTAAATGCCCACTCCAAAAAAATTTAAAGATTAAAGGTTAATGCTTGAATAAAGACTTGACTGAACTGTTCAATCTTTGCTGAATATCTATCTTCATTCTTCAAAATATCTAAGAGAGAGTGAATCTTGTTGTGCTATTAACATGTTATCTATAATATTCCTTATCTTGATGAAAGTATTTTGACAACTGATTATTCTTTTAATAATAATTTTAATTATGCACTTATAAACAACATTATGTCTGAATTATTTCATTGAGGAAGGATTGGATATTTTGAGAACAACTACTAAAGAGTAGTACTTGAACCTTTATATACTTCAACTTTTAATCTTTAACATGATGACCATGACGATTGATCCATTGCCGCAAATTAATTAAAAAACTAAGGTGTCAGTCGATCACTCACTTAGATTTAGGTGAAAAAAAGGTAAAGTACACAAATGATCCCCTAATTATAGGGTATTATTTTTGTTGAGTTATCTTACTACTAAAAATTATAAAATGATCCACCGATTATAGGGAGTTGCATTGTTAAGTTTCTCGATTATTAAAAGTTATAAAATGGTCATTCGGTTATTCATTATGTTTCAAACTCATCTTTTTTCGTTAAAAATTAACGGTCATATGGTCTAGACATTAACATGCTGACTGTGATATCATAGTTGTTTGAGATTAGATTTTATTATATCTCTGTCAGAAAGTTAACTCCAAACTTAGACTGTCGTTAATTCTTTAATAGAAAAGGACAAGTTTGAAACATAATAAATAATCATGTGATTATTTTATAACTTTTAATAGTTAAGGAACTCAACAAAGCAACTTCCTATAATTTGGGATCTTTTTGTAATTTTTAATAATCAAGGGAATTAACATAGTAATATCCCATAGTCGGGGGCCATTTGTGTACTTTACCCAAACAAAAAACACCACTCGATCATCTCATGCGACACTCCACATTAATCTATACCCCACCGCACCCTATCCCCACCCCGAGCCTCCTCCCCTCTTCAACTTAGTTGCTCTGCTCTTTCTTCTGCTGACTTACTATGACTTTGGGTTGATAACAACATGAAGCGGTTAAGGAGAAACCGGGATGGGAATGACCCGGAAACCAACCCGGATCCTGACAGAGAAGGCTCGTTTTTGAAAGATCAGCAAGAAAGGAAATGTGGATTGGGTTCAACGAGGTCGATGGGTTTCGTTGTGGTGGCGTTAATGCTCGTTTCAGTTGTATTTTCAGTTTCAGTAGTGCTTCAAGACCCACCCAGTGATGGGGTTTTGGACTCTGCTAAAGATGTTAGATTTGCTGATGTTATGGAATCAATTAAGGAGCAACGAGTTCTTGAAGTCAAACCCCAGAAAGGTAACTCCATTTTTCATTTCTCTCTCTATGATTGGAAAAAAAGGGGTTCGTTTCTGGCTTAAAGTCAGGATTTTTATTTATTCTGAATGAAACCCTTTCAGATTGTTTAAAGCTAATTGAACTGAATGATTGACTTGCTTGAAGTTGCTTAATCTCATTATAATTTATAGCTGTTGGATCTGTGTCGCTACCGTTAATGAGTCTGAAATTTTAGATCCAATTTGAACTCATGTTTAAATCATGTATTATATCGTTTTTAATATGCCTTATGGATTTACTTTTCCTGCCATTGTCACCGCGTTGTATTCACCATTGCAAAGCAATGTACCAAGCTCAAGTCCCTCCCCATGTTAGTTTGTCTCATACGAGATGGCCGATTGTTGTGCTAAATCGCCGAGATATCGTGTTTGTAGCGAGACCACTTGTAGTTTGTTTGACATTTGTTATTTTCATGCTTTGATCTATCTTTTATTCATGAATCCGTTGTTAGATGCCATCATTGTGGTTTGAAATCTTCATATTTCACCTCACTTTTCAAGGTTTCAGTTCAAACTTGAAAACACAACAGCAGTTTGTTCTTTTGCTGCTTTAATTTTGCGTGCACAGCGGGAGTTGTAGGGTCTGAACCTTGGTTCTCTCGATTTCCTTACTTTCTCAACCCAGTCGATTCTCTATCCCTCATAAAATGCCTTCAAATGTGTAGCATATTTTCCTTCATGTATTGCAGGTCTTTTAATTGCCTTGGACGGAACGGTATTGTATTGGTTGTCTAGATTATAGTTCTTGGTCCTTCAATGTAAAGTCTACTTTGTAATTTGTGTTGGATGCCGAAGTTACCCCAATGCCAACTGGTTTGTTAGCTAATTTTTGGCTTGAGAATCGATGCATTGCCATTGCTTCCATATGAACCATAGTCCTCCCCGGTTCTCATCCATTTGTTTTACGCGATAATGACATTATCTGCTCAAATTTCAATGCCTGTTTTCTCAAATGAATTTGGAATAATCTTTGTTTTCCCCCTTTTTAGTCTTAGGTCCAGTAGACGATCATGCCCCGCCTGTTGAGGAGCGTAAAGATAAACTGCAAGGTGGGCTTCTTGTAGCCGGATTTGATGAAACTTCTTGTATCAGCAGGTATCAGTCAATCTTATACCGCAAAGAATCACTACATAAAGCTTCACCTTATCTGATCTCGAGGTTACAGAGTTATGAAGCTCTCCATAAACGATGTGGGCCATATACGGAATCATATAACAAAACCTTGGAAAAGCTCAAGACTGGGGATCACCTTGAATCTACAGATTGTAATTATTTAGTATGGATTTCCTTTAGTGGATTGGGAAATAGGATACTGACCCTAGCCTCGGCATTTCTCTATGCACTTCTTACAAATCGTGTCCTACTCGTTGACCCTGGAGACGATATGGTTGATCTTTTTTGTGAACCATTTCCGGAGCTCTCCTGGTTTCTCCCTCTGGATTTCCCCCTTACAAGTCAATTCAGCAGCTTTGATCAGAAATCTCCTCATTGTTTCGGAAAAATGCTAAAGAACAACACTTTTGCTAATTCAAGCAGGTCTATATCATCATCTTTCGTATATCTCCATCTGGTTCATGATTATGATGATCAAGATAAGCTCTTTTTCTGTGATGAAGACCAAACTTCTCTTCGGGAAGTGCCGTGGTTGATCATGAAATCAGATAACTACTTTGTACCGTCTCTCTTCTTGATCCCCTCTTTTGAGCAGGAACTCGGTAATCTCTTCCCGAGAAAAGAGACGGTTTTCCACTTCTTGGGTCGCTATCTCCTCCACCCTACAAATCAGGTTTGGGGACTTATTACCCGGTATTATCAAGCTTATTTAGCTAAAGCAGATGAAAGGATAGGCATCCAGATTAGAGTATTCGACACCGCGACTGGTCCATTCAAGCATGTTTTTGATCAGATTCTTGCTTGTGCTTTGAAGGAGAATCTGCTGCCTGAGATCAGCTCAGAAAAATCTATAACCAATCAATCTCTGAAGTCTAAAGCTGTGCTGGTTACATCTTTGAGTGCAGGTTACTTTGAGAGATTAAGGGACATGTACTGGGAACATCCGACTGTGACAGGGGAGATCATTGGTTTTTACCAACCGAGCCACGAAGAGTATCAGCAAACAGAGAAGCGATTTCACAACCGGAAAGCATGGGCTGAAATGTATTTACTGAGCTTGATGGATGTGCTTGTAACGAGCTCATGGTCAACTTTTGGTTATGTTGCTCAAAGCCTGGGAGGATTGAAGCCATGGATACTGTACAAACCCGAGAACCGGACGGTCCCAGATCCACCTTGTCGCCGAGTCATGTCGATGGAGCCATGTTTCCATGCACCACCCTTTTATGATTGTAAAGCCAAGAGAGGCATTGACACAGGTGCAGTAGTTCCTCATGTAAGGCACTGTGAAGATATGAGTTGGGGTCTTAAACTTGTCGACAATAAAAGTGAGTTATAGGCATAGTTTTACTCAGACTATTGTAGAAAGTAATATTAAATCATGTGTCCGTTAAGTTTGAACATTTAACAACATTTTTGTTGGCAAATTCGTTCAATGGTTGGATTAATGTAACATTTACATTTTAGATAAGTATTTCAAAAAATTTGAGGCATTTTGTCTAGATGTTTATTGAACGAGTTGATCATGAGTTGAATAGTACTAGGCTACTAGCCTCGTACTAGTTAAAAAAATGAATTGTTCTACTCGAATCGTTTCTCGTTAAGTTTAATAAAATTTTGTTCGACTTGTGTTCGTCAAAATAACTTATTGTTCAATTTGACTCATTGTTCACTAAACTTATTAGAATTTTTATCTTGTTTTTTAACTATATATAAGATCTAGTAATTTAATAATTAATAATTTAGTATCTTTCTTATTGTTTATTAAAAATTTAATAAAGTAGTAGTAATTATTAATTATTAATTTAACAAATTTCTTATTATCTATTAGCAAATTAATAATTAATAATTAGACTTTTTTTATATAGAATAAATTTTTAAGGTAACTATTAGAAAATTATAAAAAAAAATCAACGAACTGTTCGGAAACTTATCGAATCGAGTTGTATCCCACTCATTAATGTCTCAAGTCAAACTCGAATCAACCTGAGTCAAACATTGATCAAATTTTGACCAAATCGAATTCGTACAACTCACAAACTACTCAACTCATTAAGCGCTTCTAATCTTTTTATAGTAAAAATTTAGATTCGAGTTTAATATGAATTTTTTCCATTAAAACTCGAAAAATAATATAAGTATCCCTTATATATTTAAGTTATAATTATATCATTCTCTGTATTTATTTATTTTAACTAGGTCTTTATTTACCTAACAAAAATACATCCTTTTATGTATGTTTATATCAAGTTGAATCGGGTCGAGTGCGGATTTTTATGCCGGTCGAATAACTTTCAAAACATCATAACTGAGACCATCAAAACATAATATATGAAATGGGATCAAATATTCAACAGATAACACTCGGGCAATATTTCGAGCACTATCCAGTTTTAAATCCGAAAAATCATTGGTTCAAATGACAAACTTAGCACACTTCATGTCTAGACAAATTTTTGTATGTATAACATAAAGCTTATATTCACTGCCTGAGTGTATCTCCGCTCGCTTCCTTCAATTCTTTCTTCCTTCACACAAGATGATATGGTATCCGTGACTGCAAAACAACGATAAAAATAACCGAATAATTGTCGGAGTTCGAAAATTTTGACAGTCTGAATGTGAATTGAAGGCAAAATACATACGTTGATTTGAAGGGTGCACTGGTAGCTCCAACGACTGTGTTAAAGGCAACCTCCTGAAACGGACCAGCCATCTTACCCCTTGGAAACCATCCTAAATCTCCACCTTTCTTCCCAGAGGGGCATTCGGAATATTCTTGAGCTATCTGGAAAAAGGGACGGAACGTAGAAATGAGTAGTTGGGTAAAACAATTCTCATCGGTGCATAGCAAGGATGAAAATTACTACATAAAAGTACATGACCATGAAAACATTCAAGTTACAGTACACCCCCATCGAAAATATGCATTCGTACGAGTGTGTGTGCATAAGCACTTACATATGGAATTAGGGTTTCAAGTCGCGGTCGCGGTTTCGGTTATTTCGGATTTACCGTGATTGCGGCCGTCGCGGGTAACTCGGACAGCGGCGAAACCGCTATATCGCGGCCGAAATCGCGGTCGCGGACCAGTTTTTAAAACCCTTTATGGAATTATGTAGGTTCAGCCGGTACATAACCCAACTGAAAAATCAACTATAAAGTTGCACACCTACTAACGCTTTTTCAATGATTTTCAATTAAAATTCGAGGGCTTGATCTATTAAGTAAACAGTAGGATAATGTGATTAGATGATAAAAATTCTATGCAACTAATAACCACCCCGATACGCAAATTGGTGGCATGCCAATGTTACGGGCATAAGTCACAATCAAAAGATGAAATGTGTATATGAACTCACCTTTGCAAATTCAGCCGGTGGGACTTTATCACCATTGCTAAGCCAGCCATCTTGCAGCTTCTTGTACGCTTCATTTATCTTCCCTTGCTTCTCACACAAGATGTGCCTCGCTGAACAAAAAAAGAAGACAACTGCGTAAAAGATATGTGATGAAATGCAATAAACTAATAACACTTCCATGGAAAGGATAACACTTCCATGGAAAGGGTAACAGTAAAAAGAGACCTTTAACATAAGTGCAAGTGCCAAGGCCATCTCCCTTCCCAGCTTTCCCTTTACCCTTTGAAGCACTCTCATCGCTTCCACCTCCAGCTTGTTTGCCTTTTCCCTTAGCTTCCTTCGATTTAGAGTCCTTCCCCATCTCTCAAAAACCTTATCGTAGGAGTACAAATTAGTGTAATAATTAGTGAGAACAACTTCAACTGCATCTAAAAAGGATGTCAATGGGTAAAGATTGATGAATTGACACCCAATCACAATCTAGAGAAATCCGTGGACCACAAAATTCACAATTCAAAAGAAAATAATAAATGCATTCTAAACCAGAGAAGAATGAATTTCTTTATCTCTAAGGCACCTGTGTGTGGCACATACTCAGACTTAAGTGTCGGGTTACACGGTAGTTAACTTTTTTTGGCAATGAAGTACATAAATTATATAATCAAAGCTAAAGTCACTGCCTTTGAATAAGAAGCTCAAATCTTTTGCCCAAGAAGTGGAAGTATTACTTCCCTTGAAATCAAATTATCCCCTTTAAATGATTATTTGGTCTTCAAAGATCTAATCATGCCTGGTTTCCATAGTTTTTAGCACCTAATGGAATTAATAACTTCACACATTGTATCTAAGCAGCTAAATACTTCGAGACCTAAATTGTAGTATCAAACTTCGATATGATGTTGGTAAGGAAAAAGACAATAGTATGATGCAAAATCGAGGTGGTACGTAAAACCCTCACTTGTCATATCTCACATGTCATATTTCAGCAGCTCAATACTTCGAGAACTAAATTGTAGCATCAAACTTCGATATGATGCATGGTAAGGAAAGAGATAATGGTATGACGCAAAATTGAGGTGGTACGTAAAACCCTCACTCAATAGTTTTGTTTGATTGTTTTTGGTCCTGGCCACATTTTGGATATTCACATCCATATTTACGAAGCTATGTTACCTAGACTCGGTGAGAGTTGTATGCCTATATGTGCTCAGAGGAAACAGACTTCGGATAACTCGGTCCAAAGTGGGAGATTCAGTGTAAAGGATGATTGTTTCCTATAATTCATCCTACATGATAAGTTCCTTAATCTACACTCTAATGTTATGCCAACCATGAAATTTTACACACTTGATTTCCAGTAAAACTCATCCTTAATTCACTCTTAAGATTCCTTTCAGACGCCCAATAATCCAAATTCCTTAGTCAATATATTTATTTACTTCTACTCCAATAATATTGTAAATACTATACTCACTAACCTAATTCCAGGGATTTAAATAGCGGTCTTCTATCAGAATAACAGCCACTATATAGCAGTAAAGGTGCAATCCAAAACCATTATTTCATGATCGCGATACCCGCAATCACCGCAATAGAACCCGCTATGTCCGCAGCTGTAAACGCAATTTAAATATCTGCCTAATTCATCAAAAGAGCAGTTGATTGAACAGCGATGTTAAACAGTATGCAAACATATCTGTAAAGTAAACACTAATATGAAAAACCCACAAATAAAAAAAACCTAAAGATAACGAATGGAATTAAAAACAAAAAGTGAAGTTAATGAAAACAAAAGCTCCGGGGCTAAGCAACTCGAATTAGGCGAGAGGAGAGGAACCCCCACATACTCACGAAGAAAAAGGGAGTGATCTGGGTGTTTGATGTGTTTTTACCTTGAGTACACTGTAAACACAATCGACGACCAAAACAAAAGACGATGATGTTTCAAGATCGGTGTCTGCGAGACCAGGTTTTAATGAAAACGGGAAGACACAAGTTCGGAGTTTTGAGGTTTGGGCCACTGGTTTTTCTACTTAATTGACGTTATTGCCCTCACCTAACATGGGCCTTTGCCAATTAGAACGAAATGAGGAATCGAGTTATAATGCCCATGTTAATTGTATTTATTAATAAAAATATTTTAAATGATTTAATTTTCTTATAATAAAAAAAATATTATGAATTCTTAACTTTGTAGTTGTGTTCATATACATCGAACGTGGAAACAAAAATGTTTCGGATTTTAAATAAGGATTAATACAAAATAAATTTTTAAACAATACTTTAAAAATGTTTTGGTGTTTAATTTTTTTTGTTAAAAATAGGTGTCTAACGTTTTCTCAGTTATAGTTTTAGGTGCATATCGTTATATTTTTTTTAAAATTTTTAATAATAAAAAAATTATTTTAAAAAAACTTAATTTATTTATAAAAAATCCAAACTCTTAATAAAATTATAAAAAAACTCTAAAAAGCTAAAATATTTCATTTCAACCCCTATTACCAATTGTCACTGGCCATTTTCGGCCACCATTATCGTTGAACACTTGGGTTTTGATCGAAATTGCACGGTGGGTCGAATGGTGGTGACGGTATAGCTTGTGGACGTCAGAATCGGTCGAAATCGACGAAAAATAATAACGGTGGCTTAAAATCTTACGAACATTTGAACGCTTCTCTAGACAAATTGTGGTACTTTACGATGAAAGACTGACGGTGGTTTAGTCGGAGGTCAATGCTGGAGTCGATGAAGGTAACAATCACAAATGACCGACCGACGACCATGGAAAAGGGGAAAGGGAAGGGAAAAAGTGGAAAAGGAGGGGTTGACGCACATGGGCTGTGGTTTTTTTTAATAATTTTTTTTAAAATTTTTTAAATAAATTCTCAACAAATGTAACACGTGTCAATTAATAATCAAATTTAGCGGTTGTTACGGTCCAGACACCTAAAAATATCTGATGAAAATGTTAAACACTTAATTTTAGTAAAAATTTCTCTAGACACTAAAATATTTTTCGAGACAAAATTTAGACACTTATTTTTTATCAAGTCTTTCTACTTAATATTTGTATTTTATTTATCTTTTTCTTTTAGTTTTTTATAAATCTACTCAAAATCGATGAAAAATCTTTTAAATATTTGATGTATTTGTGCTTTATATCCTTTGACGATCGTTCGATGAGATTAATTTCAAGGTTATTAATCATATTCTCAAAAGAATATTTTTTATCGTCCTTATTTTTTGAACAAATACTTCAAACTCCTCAAAATTCATGAAAGTCCTTAAACTTCCCAAAAATAATGGATTTTTTTGTTTTAATTTCACGAGTTTTATAGAAATTTTATAAAAATCTAAAACGATGAAGTGAAAAAAGACGATAAGATAAGTTTATTAGTATCTAGAATGACGCAAAAGACGTTTAAAAAGATTATTTTTCAATGACAACAGGAAAATGAATAAAAAATTCTCAACTTTGATAAAAAAAATGATATATTCTTTTGACTTCCACATCAGCATATATCAACACCATGTTAGCAGTAAACTGTGATGTCATCCAAATATTAATGATTTAGCAGTCCAATACATTAATTGAACTCAAAACTATGGACGTCTAAATTGAAGTATTTTAAAGTTCATTGATAAAATCTATAAATAATTTAGAGTTTAGTGATATTTGATATATTTCATTATATTAAAATATTATTTGATAAAAATAACGTTTTTTAATTGAAAAAAAACCCCATGGTGGTTGGATATGCTTTCATCTGAAAATAGCTTGAAAATTATACATCATTCTTCATATTCTTTAATAGTTTTGATTTACATATAATAATAATAATAATAATAATAATATAATAATAATAATAATAATAATAATAATGTCTATAATTTGAAGGGGGGGGGAAATCTCGACAACTGCTGATGTTTTCATAGTTTCAGCAACGCCAGAAACAATCTTTGTTGAATACTTGAGCGGAGATTACAGTGTTGTCAATGTCTGTGGTTAAACCTGTTTCTCGTTTGATGTTGGATCCATGGTTGTGGACCAAAGCCCTTAGCGCTGGTCGGTTCTGGATTAAAAGGGAACCAGGGAACGAGAAGAAAGGGTTTGGGGATGGGATTCGTGGGAAAATGTTTGAGATATTACAAGGAACTGGGAGAAGAACATTGTTGAAATGATCAACAATCGTGTCTTGTTTGTTTGTCTGGAAATCGATAGGATTGGAGAAGCAGGGCACGTTAGGTTTTGGTTCTGAAAATGGTCTGCTTTTGCCATTATCTGATGAAGTTTCCGCTATCGAAGAAGGACCTGAAAAATGGGGTTTTCCCCCCACAGCTCTTTTGGAAGACCCTGCAAATCACCCATTCATTCTGAAAACAAAACAAAACCATTAGAAACAAAAGGATTCGACCCTGCAATTGTGATAAATGTGACGTAATAAAAACACTACAATTGCAATTTAAATTTCTGATACATGCTCAAAATAACTGGTCTAATTATTGTTTTAATCCCTGTACTACGCTGAAACTTTAATTTATTATATAATTTGATCCTCTACTTTTTAGGTTCAAATTAATAATACCATTAATCATTGCCCTTAAATTGATATTCAACCAAATCATATTTAATCAATAATAAGTAAAAGATCAACCGATTGTTTAACACTATTTCAAATAAAAACTACATATTATCACTCTAATAGGGACTAAACTCACAAATAGACCACAAAGTTTTTTTTTGTTTTTTTGAGTTAACTGCACTGTATGTCCTCAAACTATAGCTTTTATTCTAAATTGATCCTCAAACTTTTGAATATTCTAATTTCATTCATAAACTATGACTCTCATTCTTAAATTGATCCCTAAACTTTTGAGCATTACAATTTCATCTCCAAACTATGACTCTCATTCTATATTAGTTCCTAAACTTTTGAATGTTTTAATTTTAACCCCAAACTTTTTAGTGATTTAAGAGATGTTTTTGGGATGGGAAAGAAAAAAATGATACCTTGGCAGTTTTAGGGAGATTTTGAACAGAAAATTCGCCGTCCAATCTGTATTCATGCATGATCCAATTGGTTTTTTCACCTTTTGGGGCTCTCCCTTTGTAAAAAAAACAGAGTTTTCTTCATCCCAACCAATGATTTGCCTCTGAAAATCTCTCTGTCTTTGCCGGTTGCTTTCCAGTAGCCTGACACGGTGGCCCTATTTGTTCTCATACCAGTTGGGTATTTTCTGTCTCTCATGCAGAAGAAGTACCATTCTTTCTCACCCATTTTCGCTTTCCCTGCATCCAAACAAACACAAGAAAATTAATCCAAATTCTGAATTTGGAGGCAGATAAATAACAACTTACATGGCAAATCCCAGGGCTCGGATTTGTTCAAGTCAACCTCTCCAATGGCTTTAGCAGTGAAACTGAGATCAACAACTTTCTTGTATAAGTAGTGAGAAATGAGTTCTTCATCAGTTGGATGAAATCTGAAACCTGGAGGCAATTCCATTTGATTTTGATAATCTTCTTCACCAAGATTTGACATCCTATACGACATATGATGTTGTTATAGTCCTAACCAAACATAATTAACCGAAAAGATTTCAAAATAAGTGGGTGCAGCAAAGAAACCAAGAACGAAGTTTATATAAGAAAGCCATGGAACTGAAAGGTTGGAGAAGTGTGAAGAAAGACAGCATGAAAAACAGAAGTCCCCCTAAATAATGGTTTGTGCTCGTGTCTGAAGGGGAAGAAACGTGGTATTTAAGACAGCGTTGGCCGGATGTTTTAGCCTTCTCTCCCTCTGAATAAATATTAATTCCATTTTATGTAATAAATAGTTATGATCTGTTTCCCCCTAAGTTTCTGACTAGACACAGTTAATCTCCAAATTCATGCACGTAACTTTATTCCGAAGTTCACGTCTCCCTCTCTACTCTTCCCCTCCTATCTTTATTAATTATTTGTTTGTTTTCGGTCTTGTTTTCAACCACAATATCTGATACTGATATTGATTTATTGGAGTTTGTCGTTAAACCTGTTGGCACTAGTTCCCTAGTCATATTATATATAGACATGATATTTTAATCATTATAATTTGTATGTTTTTATATATATTGAAATACCAACGATAATTATAAATCAGAAATGAATGTAGTAAGAAAACTATTTCCGAATGCAAATAGAATAACAAAATCTAGTTTGAGGGTCCAAAACAGATAATATCAATATGATAAAAGCCATATTGATTAGTCGAAATGACATAAAATCTAACCATGAAAAAATTAAAGAAAAGAACAATTAAACAACAGATAAAGGAGATCGAATACGTGCCAAAAGGCAGAAGAGAGCATATAAAAAATGCAGAGTTATTAGAAATTTAAAAAAAAAGGAAAAAACAAAGATGCAATATAAGAAAATAGAGAAAAATAAGAAATATCAACGATCAACGACAAACACTATAATTGATGTCTCCGCCCACCGACAAAGATGAAAAAAGAAAAAAGGGCAACGGCACAAACTTAGAAAAATAACGTAAGGTAAAGAAGCTTGGAAGCTTTTATGAAATGTCACCAAAGTGTATGCATACATTTATACTAGAATACAAGACAAATAAAGCCTTTCTATCATTGTGTTTAGCGTTTCGTTTTAACCTAAATCATTCATTTGCAAGTTACCAATTAAAATCTAAGAAATCTTCTTCTGTTTCTTGTCCTTCCATTCCTTGATTTCAGCTTCGATCTTAGCCTTCACGCGTGCTTGAAACCCTGGATACGGTTCATATCCGAAGACCAATTGAAGTACCTGCACCCGAATCAAACGCAAATCACTCGAAACTCTAACGATTTCGGGAAATTTCTTTTCTGATTTTGTATGAAAGGATCTAAATTACTGCCCTGTACCTCGAGCAAAACGAAGAATGGAGCCATCAGAAAAGCTTGAACAAGATTGTCTAACAGAGCCGGTGCACGTTTCTGCAAAGAATAATTCAACCGTTGGTGTTTTAAGAACGAGTGGGAATGCAATGGAGGTTAAGATGTTCGAACAAATTATAAAATTACTCACCTCGAAGACTCCATGGCCTATAAACTGTCCGGTCCAACAGAACAACTGAGCAGCCAGCACAACCTGAATAGAGAATACGGAGTTACAGACCATGTTTGACAAAGGCACACAACAGAATATATGAACTAACTCATCATGCAGAGAATTCATATATGATTGCTCCGATTTCAATATTATACCGTATCAAGTTTATACTAAACGAATTGTTATATCGATATCTATCGTTCAAAGGCATATTACACAATATTGTTTGATGTAACATTTTCTGGTAGAAGAGCTTTATTATTCTTTTCATTCTGGTGCAAACTATCATTAGACATCAACTCAACCGAGCCAACTTCATAGACACCACCGGACCTGCAACGAATATGAACCTAGAGGACCCTTAATTTTCACTATTCACAGTCGAGCCAATGACAATTAAACAGTGTAATAAAGTCTGTAAATATTGTGCTACGAACACACACCCAAGAATTAAACTCTACCTCTCTATCCATTCATCATGACCTTTTGATTTATTAACATGATTTACACAGAAATATCACATATCCGAAAAAATTGCTTAATAAAATGCAGTCAGAAATCTATTCTGATGGGATTATTTAAGAACACACTGTCTTAATTTCGACATCCATAAGCATCATTTCAAAGCTTAAATATGATAAAAGAAAGGGGCAATACTAGAACTAGGACTCTCTCCATATTGGCTCATAGATTTTTCAAAACACATGGATATTGACTTTTGAAAAGTAAAAGAGTTGAATTTGTTGCCAAAGAAGACCTAGTCCTAGATTGTTTCACATTCATACATCATGTTAGTCTGAAGAGGAACCTTAACATGCAAAATCCTCAATACCATACAAGAAAGACAAAGTTCAAGCAAAAGCATGAATTTAACAATCAAAATGAAAAAGATATAAGGCCAATAAGCTAAAAACATAAAAGAAAATGATAAGATAATCAGAAAAAGGATATTTTCTCCAATTTTCTTCAATATTACATACCTTCCAAGCCAGAGAATATCCAAGGTTTGCAGCAAGAAAACTAGCCCCAACCCAACAAGCTAAACAAAGCAAAGCAGCCAAGGAACCAGCTTTCTTATCCAAAATCACATAAAATAGTCCATAGAAGAGAGCGAAAAGAAACCCGTAATTGAAAACCAAAACATGATTAAACCCAGAGGGGAAAATCCCAGATTGAGAAAGATCAAAGATGGTAGGTGTAAAGTAGAAAAGAACAAGACCGGTGAAAAATATTGGCCAAACAAACAAAGTATGTATCAAAATGTTGATTGGGTTACTGTGATAAGCTCCATAGAATGCAAAGTGATTCTCAAGATCAAACAATCCTGCCTTCCCCATCTGAAAAAACAGTTTCTTTTTCGTTTTGTTTGTGAGGAAGAAAGTATAAATCAGTTGGGTTTGCTTAGGCTTTTCTGCCTTTGGTTTTCCAATATCAACGATGTTTCAGTTGAAATTTAATATCAACGCGCTAGCTTTTGCTTGTGGTGCACCGTTTAAATGATCTCAGTATGTTTTCATAAATTTAAGTAAAAATTCGAACGTATCTTTTATCTTTAAATAACCTAATACTATTTTTTTGAATTCATAAAAAATTATGAAATGATGTTTTAATTATAACGTATTACTTTGTTAAATCTTATAACTATAAAAAGTAATAAAATAATTATTCGATTATTCTTATATTTAAAATGCATTATTTTCGTTAAAAATTTGGCAGTAATCTGAACTGGATGGTAATATGTTGATTGAGATATGATAAAATCTGATCCTAAAAACGATTAAGTTATAATTTTTTGATCGACTATTCGTTTACATTATGTCTTCCAGTCAGTACTTAAAACATTATATCATTGAACCAGTATTTGAAAGCAACGACATGCCAGTAGACATCTTTAAAAATTTATTATATCTCGATCAAAATGTTAATGTTTAGCTAAGACGATAATTATTTATTAACAAAAAAAAGATGAGCTTGAAATATATGAATCATCAAGAGACTATTGTATAAATTTTAATAATCAGAGTACTAAACTAACAATTAATATACTTTATCCAATCATCTGTATAGCAACACTTTATAACCATGAGATAATTTGTATACTTTATTCAATAATCTATGTATCAACTCTTATTAACAATAATATTTATTAAATATTTAAATCTATAAAAAATCAAGATTAAAATTTAAATACAAAAATTTTAAATTAGCCAAAAGTCTTTACAAATTGGAGAAAGGGGAGGGGGACAACGCGTGAGGTGGATGTTGGGAATTTGTTTTCTTATTTTTAAAGAATGTTCTTAAAATATTCTTTTTAAAACTAAAATATATAAACATAACTCATGTCCTATAATAATATTTTTAATAATTTTTATAAAATAGATACTTAAAAAATAATATTGAAAACATAACTCATATCAAATAATAATTTTTTAAATAATTATTATAATACAAATATTTTAAAAAACTAATGTTGAAAACATTGAATATCTAAAAATTCAAAAAAAAATACACACTTTTTATATTAAATATAAATATATTTGTGATCATATTAAATAATAATATATAATTTTAAATAAAAAATGATTTTAAAGTTCTTAATCAACATTATTCAAACATAAAAATATTAAAACTTCAATACAAACCGACTTCATTTACAGACTTATCCATAGATAATTAATATTCAAATCTTTAATACAAATTATATTACCGATTCTTGAAAGTATCGGAACCAATGTTATCCTCATAGGCCATTCATTATAATAACTACATGATGAACTTCAGAAAAAGAGTAGATATCAATGCTGCTTAACTACACCCGTGATCCCGTGGATGAACTTTTTACGAAAGAGAATAGCTAATTTGTATGGACTCACAATACACAATTAAACCAAATTTAATTACACGAACCAAACAACTTCAGATTAAGAGATTATTGTTATCTTTTGGGATTTCAGGTTCAAACACGTCTACAAAAATATATAAATATTCATTATCAAATGATTAAAATATTTTTAAAAATAATTATATTGTGTTTAACTTATACTAATAAAAAAAATCAAATTCAATTAGAAATTTGTATGGTCTGTCTTAGTTAGTGGTAGTGACAATTATCAGATTTCATCATTGCTAGATCTGATAATACGAGCATTAGATCCATCATAGACAAACCAAATGCTTTCAAGTTAGAGAGACCATTAGCATACATCAAATAATACATTATCTCATATCTACATAATAAATTTAGTATGCTTTTGTGCATCAGAGAGATTCCCATTGATAGACAACTCATCATCCTCCCAAGGCTACTGATGTCCCTGTCTGTTTCATCGTCATTTGCACAAATTTATATGAAATATAAACCAGATTTTAACAGGAAATCAATATCAAACCAAGATTTTGAAATCCAAGGAGCTCAGTGATGCGTACTTTAATCTTTAAATAACAGTTCACCATGAGAATAATTATATACACGCATTAGACTTTTAATCGCAATAAACACAGAACAAACAAAAATACAACAGCAACCCCGATTTCAGACAGTGGCAACAATGAAAAACACAGAATCATAACAACATACAGAGAGAATATTTTCATATGCATAAACAAGCTTAAATTTGAGACGTCAGAAGGAAATTCATGTAAAATGCAGATTACTTCTTTAAAGAAGATGCAAAGTAATAAACTAATTACATATGAGCACTCAAACATATAAGCAGATTCAAAAACAAGTTCCAAGGTCGCATCAAACGCATAAAATAAATCTTTCTTTGCCTCAGATTTGAGTTTTTTTCAAAGAGAAAAACATCTCTCAAAGTATATTTAATACCATCACAGGCAGAACGACAAGGCATAAAAAAAGAAGGAAACATACAAGCTAAAAGTATCCATTAAAATTTTGCGAGAGGAACAAGAAAGATTATAACTTTACATCAGAAACAAAGGAAAAATTAAATAATGAGAACAACTCAAATCAGGGTTTTATAAGATTAAAAGAAGGGGATGGAAGTAGGGATGAGCATGGGACCCGAATCCGACAGGTTTCGATCGGGTTGGAGTTTTTTTTTATAAAAAAATTCAAGTTCGGATAGGGTCAGTCGAATTTTTTAAAAGTGATGTTCGGATCAGGTCGGGTTCGGGTTTAGGGTGAAAAATATCCGATCCGAACCGACCCGAAAATATAATTTTATCTTATATATTTAAGAATAATTACAATAATACCCCTCTATATATTATTTTTTCAATTAAATTATTATTTTTATTGAATAAAAATAATATTTTTATTATTTCTGGTCGAGTCGGATTTTATCTCAAAAAGTCGAGTCGGGTGGAAGTATATATTTTTTGGGTCGGATCGAGTCGAGCGAATGATGTAAAATTTTCAGGTCGAGTCGGGTTGGCCGAAACCCGACCCATGCCCATCCCTAGATGAAAGGCTCGGAGGCGCGAGATTATATCTAGAGTTTATCTCATGGGATGGATTTAAAAAGAGCTAGGGTTTGTGGGTTATTTATATACAACGAGAAGGTACTGAAACGTCTAGGGCATGCTTAAGGAGCAGTGGGCTGTATAATTGGCATTGTAACACCCCAATCCGTACTCAACCCGGATACGAGTTCGAGATGTCAAATTGAATTTTTAAAACAGTATTCTTATAAAATATCAAAACATTTGAACTCATATTAAGAAAATACTATCATATATTATTGAATTATGTTCGTTAAAACCAATTTGAAAAAAATATGTTTTTATGAACAATAAAATATGATATGAACAGTACCCTGAACAGTTAAAATTTTCGAATATTAATTGTGTATCGGTGCACTGCTACAGTAACTTTCGTAAAAATACGTATACACTCGTAAAAATCTAAGCTTTCATCCGTATAAAATTTATCAATTACATATACGCATTTAAAACATTACAAAACTCAATCGTATGACTTTTCAAAACCGATTAGAATATATATCGGATTTAATCCTTTATTTACATGCCAACTACTTTCCTTATTACAACAAACATACTATACATTTCTTTTCTGATCTGATCTTTGGAAAGGAGGAACTGATATGTCTTGCATAACTTTTATCAATCTTTCTCTTCTCGAAACCTACGCGTGAAACAATCACACGCTAAGTCTATGACCTAGTGAGACATATAAAACATATAATAAAAATAAGAGAAAATAACTTCAATGACCGAAAATGTCTTATAATATATGATTTTAACCAACTTTTTTTGGATTTGCGAAAATGACCAACAAATTCGCAACGCGAATTACAATTTCGCAACACAGAAGTTAAATTCGCAACGCGATTTCCAAATTCGCAACACTGAATTTCAAATTCACAACTCGATTTCTGAATTCGAAACTCGATTTTCGAATTCGCATCACGAAATTTAATTTTGCAACAGGTTTTATTTTCGCAACACAAATGTTTTGGGTATATAACTACACAGCAGCAACACTCATAACCTAAATCCCTAAATCGCAACTCATTCCATCTCCATCTATCATTCTCTCCGGCGACATCCGTTCCTATATCCAACGACATCCTTCCCAATCTCTAATTTTTTTTACATAATTTTATTTCTATATAATTTTCAATGATTTCTCTCCCAAATTATCAACTATCAACTTAATAAAGGTCTGATTTTCTCTAAGGTAGTGATGATATGTAGTTTATAGCTCGTTTGTTTAGTAAATTAATTTACAATTGTAGAATGAAATTATCTAATGTTGATCATGTTTGGATAGATTTGTGTTTTGGAGGAACATGAGAGAATGTTCATGGTGTTTTACAATATATGCCTTTACCCAAGAATCTTCAACTAAAACTGTCATTAAAAAGTTAACTTATGAAACTCTAATGTTACGTGTTGCAAAGAAATTAAATTTAGAGCCTCTAAGTAGATTTAGGCTATCTTATCAGAGAAAAAATAAAGTTTATTTGTTAACCGACAATGAAGATGTTGAATGATTCATTGCTTACATTAGTGTTTCGCAAGAAGATGATGTTACATTGTATGTTGTTGAACCTATAAGTAGTGAAGTTGGGTCAGTAGCAGGTCGTAATCAACTAAGTTCTTCAACCCCAGTTTATGATGCTCATAATGTACAACGTTGTTATCAACCTCAAAATTTAATGGTTCCACCACAATTTCATCACCAAGAAAATTTTGTTTCACCACATTTCCAATAACAAACACAATATCAAAACCCACAACATTTTCCTAATCCAAATCCTAATCAACTTTCAGCACACAATTCCAGTTTTCGTATTGACCAGTTAGACGATTATGAGCCAACAGAAAAAATTGTGAGTACTAGTCAGTATTCGAAATTTGATCTTGGTCAATACCCGGACTTTGATCTTGGTCAATACTCAGATTTTGATGATGTTTCAGAAGAAGAAACAAACCCTGCGTGTAATGATTTTGATATTGGTCAATACCCGAATTTTGATGATGAAACAGCCGCTGCCGAGGAAGATGTTGTTGATAATAATGAGGAGGAAGTTACGACTGTGAATGAACATGTTGAACATCCATTCTGTAATTCATATAAACCTGAAGAAGAAGAAGAAGAAGTCCCTGAAGAAAAGAAAAAAAAGAAAATGCCACGGGAGTATAACTGGAATATGCCAGAATTACTTCAGATACTGGAAGAAGAGTTGGTAAAGATAGCAGTTGATTGTTACACAAAAGTTATTCGTATCAAGAAAGATGATTGTTTTGATACAAAGGAACACTTGAAGATAGCATTGTATACGAAATGTGTGGAAGATTGCTATAAACTAAAAGTTAACAAATCAAGCAAAGATCTTTTCGAAACAAAGTTATGATTGACAAAAACTGTACGTAGCGTATGATTGCAAAGAGGATAAAAGATTGCGAAATATTTCAAGTTAGGACTTTTATTGATAAACATACATGTTCAAGAACCCAAGTTTTTCCTCACCATAGACAGGCAAACAAAAAGGTGTTGGGTGGTTTTCTGGCTGAGTTAATGTTTTTGAATGGCAGGGTATATCGGGGACATGAAATTAGGACTGACATGAATGCTCGGTTCAAGATTAGTATCTCATATTCTCAAGCTTGGAGAGCCAAATGTTATGCCTTGGAATTGTTGAGGCGATCTCCAGAAGCATCGTTTGCCCAACTGCAGGCTTATTGTCACAATTTAAAGTTAAAAAATCCTGGGTTGGTAACTCATATCAAAACAGATAGAGATGGATGCTTTGAGTTGCTGTTTATCACCATTGGTGCTGCGGTTAGTAAATCAATATAATTTTGTTGACTCATTTTTGTTAGTTACATGCATTTCACATTTAAATGATTATATTTCTTGTGTATATTATTTTGTAGATTCGTTAGTTTATTACTTGCATGTGCCCAATTATTATAGTTGACGGAGCACATTTGAAAGGTCGATACCTTAGAGTAAACTTATTAGCAGTAACCATGTATGCTAACAATGGGATACTGCCAATAGCTTACGGGTTTGGCAAATCTGAAACCTCTGATTCATGGACATGGTTTATAGGGCATCTTAGGGATTGCATAGGTCCTATTAGCAATCTGACAATCATATCCGATAGGGCAAACTCAATTGATAACGCTGTTAGAATGTGTTTCCAAAATATTTTTCATGGACTTTGTGGTGTTCATTTGTACATAAATCTAAAATCAAGGTCTGTTGGTATAAAAACTCACAAATGGACATATTGAAATACTGTAAAAGCTTATCGGGAAGTGGATTTTAATAAGCATATAAATTGTTTAAGACATGTTTTGCCTCATTGTGCTCAAACACTAGAAGATGTCGGGTTTGAAAGATGGTCAAGAGTACATCAACTTGGAGGAAGATATGGTTTCATGACGTCTAATAGTGCATAATCAATCAATGCTCTAAGTCATCATTTCCGAAAATTACTCATTACTATGTTAATGGAGTTTTTTGAGCCTCTATTCAACAGTGATACTACAAGAAAAGAAATCATGCATGTATTATTTCTTTAAATTCGTAACTTATCATATTTATATATTTTACTAAGTATTATTTATTTAAATTTACAGGAACATTGGAACGTCATGTTACACCATGGACTGAAAAAAGATAATGAAACGTGTTGTGAAGTCAACATCATGGAGAGTTGAACCACGTTCAAAAACTTTGTTTGAAGTATTGGATAATAACTTAAATGGGCTTGTCGATATAAATGCAAAGACGTGTAGTTGTATGAAATGATAAACATCTAGTTATTTGTGTGGCCATGTTATAAAAGTTGCTCTTCATCTAAACCAATATGATTCAAGCGCATACGCTATGGATTGCTACACTACAGAAGCATATCGACAGACTTATGCCGATATTGTCTACCATATTCCACATCCTTCTGAGTGGGACATACCAGATGACTTACAAACAGTTTTGCCACCAGTCATGGACAGCATGCTACCTGGCCGACCAAAAAATCACGATCGTATACCGTCTAAGGGTGAAGAGAAGAGGATATCGACATATAGTCGGTGTAAGGAAAGTGGTCATACAAGGTTGACCTGTGGATCACCAATGCCATCACAATCATATTTTCCTCTACCAAAATATGGATCCTCATCAAAATCCAAAGCTCATATGATGCCAAGCAAAAGGAAATCAAAATCAAAATCAAAATCAAAATCCCAATCAAAACCAGCTTCACCTTTTGGGACATATTAACTTAGGTGATTTTTAAATGCAAATGTTGTA